GTTCGTTCTCTCTCTCTCTCTCTCTCTCCTCCTCTCTCTCTCTCTCTCTCTCTAGGTCATGGACACAGCTGCCACTGCACTAACAGACCTGGCTGAACTAAGAAATCTTAGTGGGAGAAAAGAAGTAGGATCAGCAATCAGTGGAGTACTTCTCCGGCATGGAAAAAACACAGAGGCTTTTTCTCTCTCTACTCCCACATTGAGATCCCTAGAAGAGCTTTCATACTTAAAATTAAGGAGCAAGAGAGAGAAAGCTATCGCAAAGAGGGAACTGCAACAAAGGAAGACACTGGCTAAAGCCAAAAAGCTTGAAGGGAATTTGAAATTCTTATCAGGCGACATCGAGGAAGCTATATTAAAGTACACTGAAGCCTTAGAGATATGCCCCTTAAGAGCGAAGAAGGCTAGGGTGGTGCTCTACAGCAACAGGGCCCAGTGCCACTTGATCTTACAAGATGCAGACACTGCGATCAGCGACTGCACACGCTCTCTGTGCCTCGGGGAGCCTCCGAATTCCCACAGTAAGAGCCTGTGGCGGAGGTCACAGGCATATGACATGAAGGGTCTCGCGAAGGAGAGCCTCATGGACGTGCTCATGTTCGTTAATGCGCGTTTCCTGCAACAGGATTCAATAAAGATGCATAACCGTAAGGTCCATCGTATTATTCCTTACTTTGCTGCGAGGATGATCAATAAGCAGATGAGAGCTATATGGCTATTCGCACGAAATCACCATGAATTAGATGTGGAAGAAGGATCACAGAGAGAGACTGCAAGTGAAGACATAGCACGAGGAAACCTTAACAAAGAATTCAAAGACAAAGCCAATCGGAAATCTTCAGTTTCAGGTAGACCTTTAACTATGTTCTAGACTTTGTTTAGGGCAAAAACAAGCCTGCGCTCATCTGGTTCTAAATGTTACATACATACATATATATACATATAACTAAAGTAATTCTGGTGTTTCACAACCCTTTTCTACATAGGACATGGTTTCTATGAGTCCATGTAGAAATGAGTCGACTCTTAAAAATCTATTTTTCAGGTGGATTTTCGGACCCATTTTTTAAGGACATGTAATTTCTAAAATAGAGATTATCGATAAAAATAAATAAATTTTAAGAAATAAAAATAATAATTTAATGAAAAGAAACATTTGGACTGTTAGTTTCGATTGATTTTAGATTGACCACCTATTTGCATCCAATTTTAAGATGGATGCTTTATACCTTGGGACCACATATTGTAGTAATGTGGTCCAGCTAGCATGAAACAATTTTCCTTCTATATATAACCCATAGAATTTTATGGAGTGTGAATAATATATTATTTTCTCTCTACATGGTTTTTAATTGTAGCACCCCCCCACCCCCATCTAATGTGGTAATGTGGTCCAGCTAG